CCTTCGAAATGTAAGGGAAAACCTGATGAAAATCCGGAAATAATATATTTAACAATATCTGGCTGATAACCAGAAAGATACTTAACTAGAGGTTTGAGCTTGACTGGTGTTGGGAGACTTGGCTGGACGGACAGCACTGGCGTTTGATTTACTGGTTGAGCCACGAAAATTACACTGACTCACACGATGCGTACCTTTGTTGCATTTAAAGCAAGTATGCTTAAAACCGCAACTGCCAGTTGCACAAAACTGACCGCGATGAAATTTGAAACAAAATCCTGAAGGCACTGAAGGGCCTACAGGTTTTGAAATTCCGCTCATTTGTTTATTTGGCGGCGGCGCTCTAACTGGGTATTGCGAACGCAACCACAGTTCCCCGTGTATCGAACCCCAAGGGACCAGGCTCGCCTGCGTGCGTCGTAAATATCTAAAGTTTTCATCGTAGTAACGCCAGTTCTGACCGCGCACAGCCAAGTCCCGAATAGTTTGCCCATATTTCATGAGAGCGGGGGCCTCATGTGGTTTTTTTTGCGTGTAAACGCCAACAAAAATATGAAAAGCCTGTTGCCAAACCTCGATGGACGTGATTTTTTTAGTTCGCGACATTGGTTCGAGACAAAATGAAGCCGGGGTTCCGGCGTCGGAATTTTGGACCGAAATCTGGTATTTTTCCTGTCCCGGATTGCTCAACAACGATCCAAACTCAACGAACTCCTCATTCCAAATTTTTTCTTTAATTTTTGAGGAAATCTGAGAGTCAATCGGCAAACACGCCGAAAGAAAAATGTTGCTAGGAGTACTAACGCTAGGTGAAGAATTACATTAGTAGGCAATAACTGAGGCGCACCTGCTATCCTAGAGTGAGCCGCAGCTATCGCTCCCTCCACCAGAGTCGTGGCTGAACTTGCAGGCAATGGTGGCGCAGACAAACGACGCTCCTCTGCTGGTTCTGGCGTAGCTGAAACGCTTCGAGTCGCTGGAAACTTGTCAGTTGGCGAAGTGAGGGCTGGTAAAGTCGCTGCCAGTTGTCGGGTGACCTCCGCTGCAACGGTAGATACTATTGATTGGACCAGTCCGGGATCGAGTTGCTGAACCGTGGTAGGAGGCACATTGGACGGCGGTATACCACTGGAATCATCTTCGGCTGCCACAACTACAGTCGAACGGGACGCCAACGTCGAGTTCCTAGTTGATTGCCGACGGCTGCGTTGTGCCGATGGACCTTCGTCTGCCGTTCGAAGGGCTCTCTTCCTCGCTTGTAACTTTTTAGGTGGCATTCTAAACGAGAAAGCTTAAAGAGAGTAGCATAAATTTAAAGGAGGGCAAGCGCCAAAACGGTACTACACTTCTGCTAAAAAATAGTTTCTCATTGTCTAGGAAAATATGAGAATGGATAATAATTTTCACAGCGGCTGGCCTGGCTGACAGGTTGAGTCGCCGCACCACCAGCCGTGTGTAGCCAAAAGTTAAGACAAATCCTCAATCTGAGGATATAAGACAACTCCTCAAACAAGAGGGTATAAGACGAATCCTCAACTGAGGATACAAGACAAATCCTCTATCAGAGGATATAAGACAACTCCTCAAACAGAGGAAATAAGACAAATCCCCCATCAGAGGATATCAAACAAATCCTCCCACAAGAGGATATAATACAAATCCTCAATCAGAGGATATAAGACAAGTCCTTGCTCAGAGGATATAAGACTACTCCTCAAAAAGCGGATATAAGACAGGTCCTCAATCAGAGGACATCGAATAGCGGAGGGTATAGGACACATATTATCAAAACCTAACAACAGTTGGAACAAACTGCTCGCTCCAAGGGAAAATACACAGTTCGCATAAATTACTCGATACTAACTTAAATAACAGACTTAACATAACCCTATCAATTATCATCTTGCCGTATTGCTCCTACGGCATGTTTTATCGCTCCGCGGTAACTCATGTACAAGGTATATTGTCCCATGGGGTTAAAATGTACCCCGTCTGCTAAAAAGGGGGTTACGGATGGGTTGGAGAAACCTCTATGCGTCCAACAAATGGCTTGTTCTATGGGCTCGATCACTACCCGGGTGTACTGATTCAAAAGCTTGGCTCTCTCATTAAAATTAGAGCCCTTGTTTGTCGCACGTGGAGTGACTTGGCACAAAACCACGGCGCGCACGGAGTACTCCGCGACCAACGAGCGAACAAGTTCCTCGATGTCAGAACCCACTACCTCAGGTGGGGCAAGAGCTAAGTCGTTCGTCCCGATATCGAGAATGACTATATCAGGGGATATTCTAGTGATTACCCCCATATCCATCTTTCTTAGTTTTGGGACTGTTCGACCTCCCACGCCATGCATAAATATCTCGGCCGTTCCCTGCAGGTCAAAATTTTTGGCTGCCCGCTCGTCGAAACGTGCATGTAGATCACTGCGAAGTCTACGCACAAATGAATGGCCCAAAATGAGTACCTTAGGTATATCATTGCTCGTGGACGAAACAGCCATTGTATTAAAACTATAGAATTCCGGTCAGCGCTGGATATATACCAGTAAAATTAATAATAGGCTACCACTACCAACGTGACCGCAAGAAATGTTGATCGAATATACTATAAGCGTTATAAAGGAAAAACTCACCTGAATATATAGTGAAAATAGTGAAAACAATTACTTCAATCTTCACGAGAAAATCGCAATGTATACAAATTACTGCTGAAAAGATTAATGACTTGCCTCGACAGCTGACTATAAGCGACTAAACGTAAAATGTTTGAGTGTGTCTATATGACAGCACCCTGTAAATAATCTAGTTGTTCCATCAGTTAAACTATTTGCCTACAGCTAAAGTTTTATCTTTGCAAAGCAGGTTTCCTCCACACCCTTGGCAGAGTTAATTAATATGATAATAATAACAAGATGACAGACATAAAATTCCTATTCGCAAGCAAATATTCTATATGTACTATGTTTCAGTATAGTGCTGTGAAAGTGTTTATCCATGACCTTCTTGCTTCAAACTAGACATATAATTAATATGTTTTATATGGTAAAAACCGTAGGTAATGAAGTAAGTGTCTATCCATGTTACTATATAGATATTATAATGTTCCACATTATACAGATATTAACGAATGCTTGCAAGGACAAGCATGTGATCAAAATGCGGATTGCGACAACACACCTGGATCATTTGATTGTTCTTGCCGTAGTGGCTATAGAGGAGACGGCTTAAATTGTGCTGGTAGGTATTCAGTGTTGATTTATTTTTAAGTCATTTGAATTTCTTTTCCGAATCACCATCATAGGAAATCGTTTTGAAAAATGATTTAAGAAAAACTGTCTTGTATCTCAATCTGTTCCATTTGTACCAAGAGGTAAGAGCCTATGACATGTTCAAAGTATTTCCGCTGGATTGTGTCAAATCTACCAGTTCTTTAGTTGGTTTGTAAAATTGTCGTTTTTTCTTTATTTGTAGCCTTTTGTCATGTTCAGCGTGATATACATTTTAAACCATTTTATTTTGTGTTGTGCCCTTTTATTGCCAAAATATTTTTCTCATGAAATGGAACTAGCCAACATATTTCCAGTGCATTCACACCTTTTACCAATAGATTTAATCGCCTTGATTACAAGCCTGCATTAATTTCACCTAATATTTACTGACCATAAGCTTGTAATCACCTCGTGGCTAATTGTTAAATAGACTTCTGGTGCTTGAATTAAAAATCACGTAAGTGGAGTTGTGGTCCGTTCTCCCCATTGAATTGTTCTCTCCTTTGCTACGAGGGTTTTCCATGCGTATTTCAGATTTTCCTTCCCTCGCCTTTATACGATCATTGTGACCAACTCCGTTTTCCAGGAATCTCCTTCACGCTCGTGGCAGAGGGGAGACCCTGGGAACAATGTTGAATTGTAAGTGACAGGGATGGACCATTCGAGATCTGGTAGGCGTAGTGGTGCTGATCAACATTTTGGCTATGGCAATAAAGCATAATCTGTAGTCTTCCATGACGATATGGCACTTTTTACTATCTAGCTCATTTTCTTTCTGTTTTTATTATAATAAAAATGAATTTGTTGAGGAAATTGATATTCTCTTGCAGCCCCGTTTCTCAATGATAGACAAACCCTTAAAAACAGCATTCTAATATTATTTCCACCAAGTGAAGTGCAAGCAATCAGATCATTGAAGTCCACCTTATCAACACTCGCACACCCAATTACCTATATATACATGAACTTACGGTTACAGCTCAACAGCTGGCCTCTGTAGCTCAGTTGGTTAGAGCGCTGCACCGGAATCGCGGGGCCGTAGGTTCAATTCCTACCAGAGGACCTTATGCTGCATTTTTCGCAGCCGTTCCTGGTCAGGTCTTAAAGTGCATATATACTCACTTGGATTACAAACCCTTAAAAACAGCATTCTAATATTAATTCCACCAAGTGAAGTGCAAGCAATCAGATCATTGAAGTGCACCTCCTGTACCACATATAGTTAATCCATCCTTGCATAGTGATGAAATGTAATCATAACGATCGGATATATTCTCTTTTTTAATCTTCAGATATTGATGAATGTCAAAACACATCATGTCATTCCGATAGTTTTTGCACAAACACTCCTGGGTCTTTTCAGTGCACATGTAATCAAGGATATTCTGGGAAGGATGGCTTTGATTGTCTTAGTATGTATATTCTAAATATCAAAGCTTTTTATGTCTGTTGTTACAAATGATTCGCTGGAGGTAAACAATAAATATCACTTCACTAAACTCTACGTATTATATTATTCATTACGGTCTACGTCTAATATATTATTTATAATGTGTTATAAGTTATTTTGACGAAACTGCTATTCAAAACTAAATTAAGTTTTATGTTATCTTTTTAAGATATTGATGAATGTTCTGCTGGAACCCTTGACTGTAGTAAGTTTTCTACATGTACAGATACTCCTGGATCTTATGAATGTACCTGCAATCCTGGCTTCAGTGGAGATGGAAAGACCTGCATAGGTAATGTGTTTGACAATGTTAACATGGCTCTACTAAACTCATAACGAAAACAAACCGAGGCTCCATTTATTTTAAGGGGACTCTATCATTAAATTACTGGATTTGTTTTTAGATACGAGCAATTGTACGTTAATTAACTTCTGCCACGTGGACGCGACGTGTAGGAATACTGAGGGATTATTTCAATGTACTTGTAATCCAGGACATACTGGTAATGGATCAGCTTGTTTTGGTGAGTAATAAAAAATTAGTATACGATATCCAAGAAAACGTTTATCATTTATAACTTACTTTCAGGTTTCTTAAAAATCAGTATAATATTTATAATGAAAGACTTAATGTATGTATTTCAAGCGAAATTCTGGGCGAAAGTTTACCTAATGTTTGGACGTTTAGTTACTGCATGTGGCATTACAACTTCGAACACGTGGTAATGATTTGTGGGTTTTTCTAATAGTGAATTATTAAGAAGTTTTTATGTGATTTGCACATTAACTGTAAAACTACAAACACTATAAACAGATTGGTGGTTGTCTTTTTTAGATATAAATGAATGTTTGGCAAATCCATGTTCGCCTAATGGCGAATGTACTAACAACAAAGGTTCTTTCGTATGTAAATGTAAAACAGGATTCTTTGGAAATGGTTCCGTTTGTAGTGGTAGGTGTTTCATGAATATTCGAATCCACAGGATGCATATAGCCGTGCATACTGATTTATTGCTGCCGTAGCGAGCGAGCGTGAAGCGAGCGAGCGAGGCAGCAGTCCTAATCTTTATGTATATGTATATATATATATATATATATATAAGGCAGATGAAATCTCGATCGTTTCGGCGTATTTCGGCCTACCACAATGCACTGCTTCCGGGCCGGCAGGCTATTCTTGCCTAATAAACAGGCATAAAACAAACAAGCAATGTGATCATCTTTCATCTTTGGTTTTATTTTATGGAAAGCCATAGCTGGCGTACGTGATCAAACGGCATTGTGTCGATACGCAGTGGTTCGAGCGTTATACGCGGTGGTTTCGCTATTATACGCAGTGGTTCGAGTATTATACGTGGTGCGTTCGCCATTATACGCGGTGCGTTCGCCATTATACGCAGTGATTCGAGCATTATTCGCGGTGCTTTCGTAATCGTCATATTTATACGGGGTGCTTTTAACATAATTTCCATATTCTTTCCATGTATATAATCTCACGATTGCTTAATAAATCTGGTATATAGGCCTATGTGGCTGTGCTTTTTGCCTCTGGTCTGCAATGACAATGACATTTAATTAAAAAGGTTCATTTATAAAAAGGTGACTGCACTTTGTGAGTTCTTATATATTATCATATAGTGTTGATTTATTAGTAATAAATCTGTGTATATAACATAGGTATATAAATTAATATAACGCAGCAAATGCGCGCCAAGCAGTATAAACGCGGCTGAAATACGATATTAAAATCTTGAATGTGCCGTATGATTTAATTATGTTTTAGGATTTAAAGCCTTTAAAAATGCTTTGTCATTTGTATTTGTACTTGTACTGCATCACAACGCAGTGCGTAAGTGAACAGATTCCACATGTGAGGTTGTCTTGTATATATTTTTGCCTTCTTTGATAAACATTATTAAACACGCAAATTTAGTGGGACGCACACTCGCACATGTTAAATGTCACCTGCATGTCATTGTCATTGCCCTTTAACCCCTGGTCTAAATCATATGATTATTGAAGCGGGGCCGTTTTGACTTTGGGCCGTTTTGACCTAGCACCGTATTTGTGGGCAAATTGTCTATACAATTTTATATATTAGATATCACAGCCATACCTCATGCCATTTTGATCTTTTCCTCGCGTTAGATAAGTTGATAAGTACACTCATTCTTGTTAGCCATCGTACCTGTTCGGCTGTTCCTCTTTCGATACAAAACTTCGAGCGCCGAGTTATCATACGGCACATTCAAGTGTATAAATTATGGATGATTCCAATTCATTACGAATATTTCTTACTCTTATTCTTTAAAATATTAAGAGGCAACTTTTTTTCAATATCACGTATTTGCAATGAAAAGTGTTCAAAACCTAAAATCTTTTTGGCGTTCCTCTCAAAATTACTTTTTTTTAGCTTTATTCTCTACAGTTTATAGAGTTAGCTACTTTTTTAAATGCGTCTTCCGGTTGAGAAACATAAAATAATCAAGTTAAAAATTGCCAATTAAAATACAATTGTCAATGATGCCTTAAAATTGACGCTTATATATTTACTGTAAATACAGTGCGTCTACAGTAAGTGGGGCCACTTAGAGAACACTAACCAATCACATTGCAGAACAGAAATTGAAAAAATGAACAAACGGCGCATTAGCCAATCAGCATTAGGCCAAAAACAATTTGAACAAATAAACGAATGTCAAACGGTAAAAATAGACTTGTAAAAGTAAACACTGCAGTTAATGGCTTCCTGAATCTTTCTTTTGATTGGACGAGCTTTAGTTTGATTAGATTTTTCTTTTTGTTCTGCAATGCGATTGGTTACTGTTCTCTAAGTGGCCCCACTTACAGTAGACGCACTGTAAGCAAAACGTACTGAACTTCAGACATCATTTTCTCTTTGGCGTATCATCTAATATCTCTTCATTTTAGCATTATTTTACAGATAAAGCACTAAACATACTTTTTAAGGTTCTTTTTACCGATTGAGAAACGTATCGAAAAATAAAAATTTTCATTTTAGTCATAATCTCATGTGGTATATTATACGCATTAGTTTTGAGCGCGTGTTACGTAACATACAAAAAATCTCATTTAAAGATTTGGGAACAATGCTATACCAAGGCAGCATTCACTACCCTGTGTATGTACCGCGCTAAAATGGATAAATGCACATGTGTGGCGAATTTACAATGATTGCAATTCTGAATGCTGAATCACTACGCGAAAATAAACAAATTGCGCCAGAAATTTGCAATTACTCTTTTCAGTAAAAGCTAGTAAAGTTACGTTTTGCGCTGCACGTGTTTGGACCGATTTTAGTGCTGAGATAGCTCTCCCGTTCAAAACGTAAGATGTTTATAATTAATTTTTTTTATGGAAGCGCGTTTAATTAAGGTTGCTTGTTAGGTTTTAGAGGTTGCTCATTAATTACAGAACATTACTGACTATACACAATCTATTTGGGAAAAAATCTGTACATTTCGAATCAATTTCGATTCAAATTCAGCAGTATATTTACAAGATTAATTTATTTCGGAATAACATCAATTATGGGGATGTCGCGAGACTTAAGCATAAACACTCGAACCGCATACGCTTTCCGAAAGTTGAGCAACATCCCAAGTTCATGGATCACGCTATCCTGCTTGGAAACCATTTAGGTAAATGTTTTATAAAATAACTACAGTGAAACAATGGCATTTATATTTGGAAAATTCCGCGAAAATCCTGCGAAGGCATTTTAATTCCTCGTGCTGCAGGATAGCCTGATCTTGCACGGCTATTGACCAATCAATTTGCGTGTTTCACTGTAGTTATTATATAAATTGTATATTCTTTAATACTATCTCTAATGACCACAACTATTACTGGAGCTGAAATACAAATTGTCCCCGAGTCAATTACGACGCGAAGCGCCGTTCCAGGCGTTAGCCCGGGCAAGGATATTAATCAATTCCGCTCGGAAGTTACACCCGCGGGGGAAGAAAACCATTATTACTGAAGTCTAAAATTCATCAATAATCGCGGGCGCGTGACTATGATGAATGAATGGACCTCCCACTGATCCCAAAATTTGACTGTTTTCGCAGGAGTGGGATAAGCAAGATTTCAATTTTCAAAAACATATATTTTGGAAAATCGTTTCACGCAAAGAGCTTTGAATTGATTTCTGATTTACTGTAATAATGGTATAGCATGGGAAATTGTGTTTGCTTTGAATGTTTAATGTTTATATGCATTTCCCTGCTTTAATTTGCCTAAAACATGCATTGCTTCCCTTTTCCATGATCGAAGCTGTAAGTTTCCTAAATTACCCTGTTCAAATAATTAATTTAAGAAAAAACATAAAATGTAAAAGAGAGCTAATTAATTTGAAGATCGAAAGAATAAAGTAAAAGCAGTTTCTCGGCAAAAGCAGTTTTAGCTGAATGAACAATTCAAAACATTTTACGAAGCCGCAATTCAGGTTAAGTTTCAATCAAATCTGGCAAAATGCAAAATAACATAATATCATTCATTGTTGTGCAGTTAAAAATGGTAAATCTTTCAATTATTTTTTCTGTTTTGTACAAAATATATGTTAGAAAATATAAATTAAACAATTTAAAATCATTGTGTTGCCTTGACGTATAATTCGAGCCTGCGTTTAGTCTTGGCCAATTGCTAATACTTCATGTTAAATCAATGTTTGGAAAATATAGGGGAGAGGTAGCTAATTTTAAAATCTCAGTGTCGTGAATAGTGTAAGGAAATTCGCCTCAACGCTTCGCGTTTCGGTTAACATCCTTGCACTCTTCACCTCCACTTCGGTGAATAATTGTTAATTAGTTTTGCATGTTTTTTTTTGGCTGAAACTATATCAGCCGGTAAATGACTCACTAATTAACTCTTCGTCTACCCACGCATATTTAAACACAATATATAGTAATAATAAACGTAAAAAATGGAAGTATATGCTCATGTAGTTATTTACTAGCTAATGATTCTCTCTTATTTGATCATTTCTCTTGTCAGATATCAACGAGTGCAATAGCAACCCATGCCATGCCAATGCACAATGTTCAAATACTAATGGTTCGTTCCGATGCCAATGTCAGCCAGGTTATGAGGGCTCAGGATTTTTGTGTACTGGTAAGTCTTTATTTAGTTCTGGTACTCTTGCATCATTTTGAATGGCTTTAGATAATTGGTGCGGAAGTCACATTTTTTTGAGCAATTGAAGCAACCCTTTTGTTCGGTGTCCGTGTTCTTAATAATATGTTTGTCTTTCGATGTACAGGGTGTATAAAAAAAACGCAACCTCGGAATTTCCCAAGAAATCGACATTGTTTTAAAGACAAAAGATTTTAGGCGCCTAGGAATTTAAAATAGCACAACTGTCAAAATTACTGCACACATGAGTGCATAAAGCAAAATTTATGCATTTATTTAATGCACAACAACAGTAATATATGATCTATTAGCAATTCGATTTCAATTCCCAGGGGCCTAAAATCTTTTATGCTTAAGAATTGCAAAGTGATTTCTTATAATTAGGAATTTCGGAGGTTGCGTTTTTTTTTGTACACCGGCTGTATTAAGAATTTCTTTGATGTTCTTGGTCTTCTGTGAGATGGTATAATGGTCCTCGTGGGAATACTTTGTTGAGCTCTGCTGAATTGTGAATTAAATGATGTGTTCTTGGATGATATACAGTATAACTGTTATTAGGAAGATGGGTGTTGTGATCCGTAACTGAAGTGGGGAAATTTTCTTCTTATCTTTAGTTGCAGATGAAAGGAGTTCATTTTGGTTAATATTAGAAACTTGCTCGAATTGTTTTTTTGACCTTGTTCCTATTATATCCTCTACTTAGGTATTGTTGCTATTCCTCGCTTCGCTTTTGATAATCCGCATCTGTATACAGATGATTGTCCGTGAGTTTAGAATAAACATCCTCTACAATTTATCCATCATTTTGTTTGAGGGTAAGATCGAGGACGTTTAGCGATAACTCTGAATATAGACTAATGAAAATTTGATTATCGGGTAAAGGGAGTTGATATAATTGGTGAACTGTTCTAATTTAGAATGCCCCTGGGTCCATGCAGAGATCGAAAATGTCTTCCCAGAATCGCCACCATACTTGCGGTTCGATTGCCCCTGACTTTGCCCTCTTATCTATCACGCCCATGGCAATGTCAGCGTAACTGCAAGCGTTTTGGGGCCCCATTGCTCTACCATGAATTTGCAGATAATTTTCACCCCCAAACTGCGAGTTGTTATGTTTGAGACAAATTTCAACGGCTTCAAGGACACATTCTGTAGATGAGTTTTTGTTCTATCTTGTGACAAGGGCTTCCTCCACAGCTGAAACCCAGGACACGAGAATTGGTTCATCAGGAAAGGGCCCTTTTGAGTTCAGCTCTGGGATTTTTCGAAGGAAGTGCGTTGACGTGTTGTGTGATGAATGTTGGTACTTGGTGCCTGGTTGAAAGGTTTAAGATAAAACTTGGTGAATGCTGAACAACTTTAAATTGCTGTGCGGCGCAGCATGAAGTTATAAGTCTCAAAGGATTGCCATCTTTGTGCATCTTTATTAACCCAAAAGCTTTACCTGGCTGAGCATCGTCGTTGATCATTCAGTTGCTTACTGTATTACTTCACTAATTACGCTAGCTTTGCTAGCCATTTTTCGCACCATTCGTCAATAACATGTTATTCGATTCTCCTATAGTGTGAATGTGTTATCCAATTGTTTATTCATTTCGTTATTATAATGTGCGGTATCCATGACAACAAATTTTGATCTTTTGTCTTGGATTCGAATGGTTTGTTCTTCCAATTGTGTTAGCAACCGCAGCGCTTGCTTGCCTTTCGTTTATGGCCAGATATCCTTTGTTTTCCTAATATTGGAAGGGTTAAATAAGTCTGATTTAACATACTGTTTGGAAAACATTCCAGTTGAGGAGATTTAGACGGTGCTACTCTCCAGGAAGATGGTTTCCATGGGCGTCAATCCTGAGGGGGATGGGGTTTTTTTGAGTGGAGAGACGAATATCTAATTATCCCCCCATTTTTTAACATGTTTTATTAATGAAATTTTGTTTCTTGGTAATCTGAAAACCGAATCCCTGGTATGCTATTCATCCAGACTTGTGGTTGGAACGAAGACATTTAATAAAATGAAGTACAACGTATGACCTTTCTGTAGCCGCTGGGAACAAATACTGACAACGCATATATTATGTGAGCACTAAAAATATTCAAATTGAATTCAAATTTGTACATGTGTTGTAATTTTATATAAACATTTACATAAAGGCACATTTTGTCGCATTCACTTCCTGTTCTAACTGGCAAGCTGCACTGAATGAGAAAATAATTCGTTATGCTTGTTTATGTTTTTGTTTTTGTTTTTTAGTATTACGCCCGTAAAAATTTTATTATTACGCCCGTATTTACATTTTGTTTTTCTATTTTGGATAGGCTAGGGGCCTTCTAGAAACCTAATAAGCTTTTTAATTAAGACCCCTTACATTATTTCATTCCTATATTTATAATTAGTCAGTTCGAATTATTATATACCCTGGGTGCCAGAGATTCTTCCACGCTCGTAGGGGGATAATGAGGGATACACGAGGATTCAAGCTGGGCGACGGCGAGCGGGAAGAACCTCTGGAACACTTCTATTGCTTTTACTGTTTTAACTGTCACATGTCAATCAAACGTTAGCCAATAGGACACGTTTTTATTTTTGACTGATGATGATTTGGGCGTGTTCAACCGAACATTTGAGCAATGGAAATTGCGAGAGAATGAGACTGTCAATTTCAAAACAAAAAATTAGCGAGTCTTTATGGTAAAATAAACCGAATAATATTATATGGCCACATGGCATTAGACCGTACACCTGTTAAAAGTGTTACAAAAAAGCGGAGACGAGTATTGTCGAGTTTGTGGTGAATTTGTAATTCACAGTGGGTATTTTAGTATATACAGTAAAAGGATCGTCGCCTCGGTAGATTGAACTTTGAAGCATTTCTTGTTCGTCATATTAAATACAAACGAATATTTGCCGTCGAAGGCCCTGTTTATATGGAGGCGAGTTACTCTGCAATTAGCGAATAAAACTTATATATCTAATGATTCGTATGTATTTTTGAGCAATATATTATATTTCAAATGCAAAGCACATACATTTATATACATACATTCGATCTCGGGCGGCCGAGTTAACAAATACCCGAACATCTTTTGTTTAATAAGGTAACTATTCATCTCGCCGAAGGCAATATCTCGCCACTTTCTGTCGGGAACTCGTCACTGGCGAGTTTATTAGTTATACTCGGCTGCATCGTCATGTGAACAGTCTCCCGGGTTTTACTACTGTATAAGTTTCTATAATATATAAATATAGCCGGGATCTTGTCAGTTGACGAGTATATAAAACTCGACTTGCCAGGTAATTCGCCTCGATATAAATAGGCCTATAAAGACTCCCATCTTGTCTTGACATGCTTGATTACTAGACAGACACGCACACGAAATTCCCTCTTGGCAATGTAGCAAACATATCACGGCGATGCATCAACTGAAACACAGAAACAAGGCATCATCTTGATGTTTATTGAGTTCTGTATTAACACCGTCCAGTAAAAAAATTCAAAATCGAATCAACCGCGACCGAGTTGTTGAAATCCTCTCGCAAGACTCTCAAAACTAGAGGCATATATATTTACGCCTGACTATGTTATAAATATAATATTATTATATTAAACAACAGCGTATGCCTGTACGGATTCTGAACGATAATATCTTGAAGGACATACTGTTCAAACAGCCAATGAAAGTCATTGTTTTAACAAGTCCCTGCCGTTAACCAATTAACACTGTGATCCAGATTCTGGATCACTTCACACTATTAAGCATCGTGATTGGTGCGGTTCGATCTGAGAAACCATAGAAGTGTTCCAGAGGTTCTTCCCGCTCGCCGTCGCCCAGCTTGAATCCTCGTGTATCCCTCATTATCCTCCTTACGAGCGTGGAAGAACCTCTGGCACCCAGGGTAATTATTATATTGAACAAGGATAAAAGTATATATACTATATATGTATATTTACAGTAAAGAAGGTGATAATATACATTTTTAACTATTATATATAATCAATTATTGAGCTAATGAGTAATGGACATAATCGTAATTTACTACTTTAACGACTAAATTAAGATTTAAGACTATAGATAGTTTTATTTTACCATTTTCAAAAGTTCAAATATAGGAAAATATTAAGCCTAAACATTCCATTTTTGTAGTTTACACCAGCAATACCGAATTAATAAAGGATATAATAAGAACAAGGCCAAAACACAATTCGAACAAGTTTCAATAATATCAACCGAAATGAACTCCTTTCATATAGTTTAAAATAAAAGTTCAGTTTATTAACTAAGAAAAACTGTGACGTGGCAGTACATTGAAACAACACCCTCCACACACCAGATGATATAAAATTTATTGGTACAGAGAAAAGATTGTAAATATCGAAGGAAAGAAAGAAACCGATCAACGCCTACTCACCGGACCTAAGCAATTTGAGTTGCATATGTGGTCACCATTCGACCAACAGAATTAATTAGCTGATTAATTCATTATTATTTTAACTCCTTTTAATGCCTTTTGAGTCTTTTGGCTTAAATAACGTTTAGCTATTATACCTATATAGACACTATATACATGTAGTCAATTATACGTATTTGTATCTGTCATGTAGTGCTTGTGTATAAAGTATTTAGATTCGAAGTTTTATATCATTCATATGTAAGCACTGAAGAATCCTGAACAGGCGAAACGTCTGCAAATAAACAATTTTAAATTAAATCTATTATTGAGCTTTCGACTGCTTGGTACTTCGACTATTTATAGTTAATGAGTTTTGCGCCGTTGCATGTTTGCGTTCTTGTACACGTCGGGAGCGTCTTATAGGTTATTCGTTTGGCGATGATCCCATTTCATTGGTGGTTACAGGATCATGTATTAGGCGTCTTTTTTAGTGAAGGTAGATCGTTGGAACATCAACGTGTCGGTTGATTGTATTATTGTCCATGTTGCATGTGCCATGCTTCTTTGAATTCTCGGCCATGTTTAGTTTGTGCTTGTCCTAGTAGTTCAGTGTATGTCTAGTTAAATGTATGACAATTGTCACATATATGTGCGTACAGCGGGAGGTGACCGAAGGTCGTATCGCTTTTGTGTTCAGTTATTCGTGTCTCGATCTTTTTTGAGGTTTTGGCCAGTGTATCGTTGTGGACAGTCTCTGGAAGTAGGCTATATGTTAAAACTGTCTGTATCAGTGTGGGTAGTACCAATGTGAATATGCTGTGCTGAGTGGTTATATTACTACCTGAAATGAACAAGCAGAAACTCGACGTTTCGAGCGAAGGCCCTTCGTCAAGATCGGGGAAAATGCTCGGGCTTTTATACTAAGAGTATGAAAGCATCACGTGACAAAAAATAAACCAATTAGATGGATTTAATCATGACAGTCAGAGTGTAAACAAAATATGTAAATCGCATTACAGAATATAATATAATAAAAAAATTATAAAATATACAGGAAGCTAAGACAATTACTACAAAAAATAATCAAAACAAAACAAAACACAAGTTGGAATAAGGTAAGAAATAAAAGTGAAAGTAATATAAAAAGATAACCAATGATATTTTAATAATGGCAATAACAGTGTTTCAGATATGGTAATTCGAGCCCTCTGCATGCCCCATTTCTGGAAGCAACGATAGCCAAACGACATGAAGTGTGCCTCATATCCAAACTTGGCACTGTTCACCCTTCTGGTATTAATGAACGCTTTTCCTGTGTTTAATTCCATCTGTCCTTGCCTGTCAATAGCAGACATTGAAAGCATTTATCTTTTT